GTAATATGTGTGCAAGGGTAGGTGGGTAAAAGAGTGGTACGTAAAAGAGCAAAACTGGCTTTGGTTTCAGTTAGCCAACTGCTGCTGAAGTAACTTCTGCTGCGAGATTGCCGCCTGAGAAGCTTTGCAGTCAATCTCGCTCTTGTCGCCTGCGTACTGAAGTTCGTACTGCGACACAAACCGCGTCAACTCGTCCTCATTGCGAAAATACATCTCCTTCAGGAGAAATGTCATCGGAATCGATGGTCGATATCTAGGTGTTGGTAGAAGGCACAGGTCTTAGTTAGGTGATCAAGACAGGAAAAAGGCAACTCAGAATAGTAAATATTAAGGGGTTAGTGGCCACACAAATCAATCAGCTCGGCTTTTTCCCACAGGAAATGGTGTGATTTGCAGGTAGCCAGGTACTTACCCGATCCCGGGACAGACTGAAAAATGAAATAGACAAAAACAAGGAAATGGGCAAAAATACGTACGACTTAAGGATCGTCATTAGGGCACAGGAACGTTCCCGTTCAATGAACCAGTCCATCACATAAGATGACATTTTAGGTGCAACCGCGTACAGCCGAAACAAGCGCTGGTAAAACTTAAGCGACCATGCGTTGCGAACTCGCAGTGCATGTGAAATTACCTCGTGCTCCTTGTCCTCTTTGCTCAAACTGTGGAGCACATTTTGCAAATCTATTGTTGGTGGAAGAAGAATATGGATTAGATTCTTAGGGAAACTCAAAGTAAAAGTCAGACAAAAAACTTACCACTCTCATTTTTGGCGAAAATTTGGTACAAAATGAGGTAGCCGATAAACTCGCAGCGATTTTCACAATCGCCGACGTCTTTCTCACCGTACAGCGCCCTCAGCTGGCTCTGACACTGGTTGAACTCCGAGGTGTCGCCATTTTCCAGCGCAATTCGAGCATGCGTCTCATAGACGTGCACGGTGAAGGCGTTGCGCAGGCACTGCACGGTGATGTCCTGCCGAATGGACTTGAGCTGATCACAGACGTAGTTGTAGTCACGCGTGTCAAGCCACTTCTTTTTCACCATTTGCAGCGCCTTTCTGAGCACCTCAAGAGGACGAACAGTGGACGGGTCGGGGGCGGAGGTCAGGCGCAGGTAGCGCTTCTCAAGGTTCGTACAGGTGCCGATAATGGCGCTAATGGAGCTCAGGTCAAATTCCTCGCCCTCATCGACCATGTTGTAGTTGCTGCTAGTATTGTAACGAATGTGATTAATCTTAACCCCAGCAAACCCTTTGCCACTCTGACTTTCAGCAGCACTGGTGGGGGTTTCCGTCGTGCGAGTGTACTCTTCGAAGCGAGCCTTTCGCTGAGCAACCTTCTCATCGCTGAAGATGTCGCCCTTCCTTCCAAACCCGTTAACAGTGATTGTGGTAGTCTCAAACTTTTTAGCATTTTTCTTGTTCACTCTTCGACTGCGCTTGTTGTTCTTCTTCAAGGGCGAAGTCTGCTTTGACATGTTCTTAGTAAATTGCTTCGGCTCATCATACGACAACGGAATATAATCTTCGTCCGAATCAATTTCTCTGCTAAAATAAAAGCACAATTTGTGGTTAGATTAGTGAAAACACAAGATAATGAAAAAAGTTACCTTTTCTTTTTCAACTTTTTCTTACTCGGGGTGTCTTCATGATAGAATCGCTTTCCGTAAGTCTTCATTTTGCTGTCAGAATCATCAGAGGAGTCGGAATAGTCTCCCGATGAATAGGAATTGGAATGTGTGGAGCCCTTTACGGGATCCGAGAGATTGGGTTTACTCTTAACAACACTCTTACTCTGCTCATACGGTCTGAAAGCTTTCTTTGGAGGCGTTGTCTGCTGCTTAAAAGGGCTGGAAAAGGGCGGGGCGTCATTTGCAGACGAAGCCTTGGTGAGAACCGGTAGCGGTTCATTCTTCCAGTCCTTCGTGTGCATGTTACCCTCATTGATCGCCTTTGTGATTTTGCCTTTGAGGATGATTTCAATTCGGTCCTTATCGAGCTCATCGCTCGATACGGCAAAGGCGCGTGTTACATACTCGTGAAGTTCAGGAGGCCATTGTTGGCCGCTGTTTGTGCTGTTGTTTGGTTTGTCAGATTGTCCACTGCTCATTTTAGCCCCTACTCCTTGTACTGAAGTACTACCGTTAGTGTTACTACTTATGTTGGTCCTATTTGCTGTTGATGGGGATGAATGATCGGGAAATGTGTTTGGCTGATGTCCAGTACCTTGTGACATTTTAGTTGGAGAAGTTGAGCTGAAAGCTGACTTTGAACCTGGCATATCTAAATTCTGCTTTTGCTGAGGTTTCTGCTGAAGTTTAAATCTAATGACTCCGTTATTCGGACCATTTGACGGAGAAGGATGAGACATTGGAACGCCATTTGAAAATGCAGGATGCGGTTGAGTGTAAGTGTGACGTGGCGGAGTTGGCGGCACAAAAGAACCTGGACCTGACATAGAAGGAGCGTGGTTTGTGTTTGGTGGGGGAGGTTGTGAAAAATGCTGATGCTCAGGTGGCGCTTGCCCGTTGTTTTGATACGTGGCCCAAGCATTTTGCATTTGATTTCCATGATTTGGGGCAAGAGACGGAGGCGGTGGTGGTGGTGGTGGTTGCTGAGGCTGTTGAGGTCGCGGCTGGTAATAGTTGTTAGCATAGTCGTACGAATAATTGTAAGCAGTACTGAAAAGTAAAGATTTGTTAGATTGAAAGGCAACTTTTGTTACAAATGACGACATACCTATAGCTGGCCCAGCCATTAACCGGATAGTTTGAATTTGGGTAGTAGTTATAATCGGATGCTGCGGGAGCGCCACCAGAAACACGAGCCAAGGATTCGCGGGCTTTCACCCAAGCTTCGGGTTCCATTTTGGCAAACTTACGCTTGAAGTTAACTTGCAGGAAGACTTGAGGAGAGAAGAAGAAAGAACAAAGAGTATCAAACCTTGAAG